TCAAATTGTCCAGCTCAGCGAACAAACCACTGACCAGACACCTTGACTCTGATTCAGTCGTCGGATTGGTCCTTCCTAGTCTCCAGAAGAGTCTAAGCCTCATTATCGCGTTGACGAAACACGGTAGGATAGATTTGGTCACTCCGATATAGGTGGGAATAAGTCGGCCAATCGTGACAGACACTGGGACCGATTAGGAACACCACAATGTTCTCAAAAATGGCCTTAAGTAGGCTTCTAGAAGTGCTTTGTCCCACTATCAACGTAAAACGGTGGACCCCAAAATATGCTTCTACAATGAAGGTATAGCGACTAGGTAGCAGCAACGAATCATCAGTGATGAATACTGGTATTATACTGTTGATATGTGAAAGACAAGTAGCAGAGGGTGAGAACGACAGTAAAGAGTAGCACAACGAATCGTTGATCTATGCTTACCAGAGGCATTATGATAAACTGACAGCAAAATCCAATCGCCGGACCAATAGGTCTTCGGAAGTAGGCCTTTAACAGCCCCGGATCTAATTCACAGCCCATTGTGAAAGTAAAAATCGTAACCATACTGACCACCACGATACGAAACACAAGTTGCACAACACCTTGGCCACGCAGCACAATGACTGGGAAACCGAGAAGCTCGAATCTCCAAGGTGTGTTTAAAAGGCTATCAAAGTAATGTTGTGTGGTCCAGCTGGAAGAGTTGAGCACGAATGCCTTAGGTTCAGTGAAGCCCAAGTTTTTCGCCTCACGGACCCAAAACCGTAAATATGATAATCCAATCTGTTTTGGAACGACGTCGATGAAAATCGACAGGGAGAGATTATTTGCCGGAGGAAGCCAGTGCCATGATTGATTTTGTAACTGGGCTGCTTGCATAGAATCCAAATCATAAGATAGAGCCAAAGGTATTATACTTGTGTACACCACACGAACTTCGACATGGCGCGATGGGAGATCGTCAGTTAGGCGCAGATCATCACGTGCAATTTGTAGCTGAAGCAATGAGTCGTTTGTTGGATTACTCAGTTGCTTATAATAACTTGAGTTTTCATCCGTCTTGGCCAGATTCAATTCGAATCTCTTCCTATCATTAATAATTTGGCCATCGTCTTTCAAGCCGATTTCCAGAACGCGCGGTTCGTCAGCGGATGGTATGGCCAGGGTCGCTTGTAAAGACCCAAGAATGCAAAGCCAAGCCCACCGAATCAACATGACGGAGAGGGGCGGCTTGCTCCAGGCGGATCTATCCTAGCGTGAATATAAACACGCTGCCGGGCGTGTCACATCGCTCATGTGGCCTTCACACGCAAGGCCGCGTATATGCGCCGTGGCCTGTCTCAGATGCGTGTCTGTATCTCCATTAATTTTAGCCAATAGCGCAGCTGACTTTCTGCATCTGCCCTTGATCACCATTGGTTGGAGGCAATAGGGTTGACCTGGTCGCACGGCCGCGACCACGCTGCGGAACGGCTGTCGGCAGGCTGTTCGGTCGCGCACCCGAAACTAGGACGCGT